TTAGCAGGAATAGTTGAAATATGAGAGAGACGTGAATTCAATTTTGTGCACCTAGGATGAGTGGATTTTGTTAATAACTAGTTATAATGGCTGAGGCTGTTAGTCAAAAGCAGTTAGTGAGCTCTCAGAAAATATTCTTTGCTTGCTGGGTTTTTTTCTCCAAATCATGCCCTATTCTGTGCCTCTGGCAACAGTCTCTAGCCCTTAGATTGGACATACAGAATGTTGCTAGACAATCAATCAGTACAAGGGCATTGCTGACAAATGAACTCCCAGATAATGAGGAAGCCAGTTACGTTTCTCCACTTGATTGCCAACTTCTGATGATTTTCAGCTCTGAAGCGAGAGTCTCGAATCCTTTTTTGTGGTTAAGCACAAAGCACAACTCAGGAAAGAAACACAAAGGGCTTTTTAAACCTTTCTTTGCACCTCATATACGTGGCAGCAGCCAGCTATGCAGTCCCTACAAAATACAATTGCTTGGACACTGCTTTCAGTGGCACTAGTTGCCAACAACCTTATAAGCTAATCACAAATGAAGGATTTTAGTGGTTCTGTGGGGCCCATTCCTCACCTCACTTTCTCTGATCAGTCTCCTCATTAGTAAATATGTAAGAGGACACAGGAGAATTGCTATACCTTACCAATGTGAACAGGATGCCTATTTAAAAGCTAATTCTATAGGCTCCACTTCCAGTCCCAGTCTATTGGCTATGGTCAACAGAAAGACAGTTCTTCCCACTTTTCATAGATAACCGTATTAAACTTTGATGGGCTGCTCGCTGCAGGTTCCTTGCTCTGCATGCGGTGACAAGGCGGGAAGCCTTAACAACAAGTTTAGACTAGATGTCTAATTCTTTAGTGGCTCAAATTAGGTAAAAAATAATCCCACCTTGTGATGATCACCTAGTTGCCTCAAGGCTCAGATGAACTTTCCTGTGTAGGCTGTATGATCTTTAGATCTCCTTTCTGTTGCTAGCATGGTGCAAAGAGATGGCACCCAGGGAAAGATGGGGCTCTTTTGCAAAGTTCAAAGGACAGAGCTTAATAAAATTTGTTGCTTCCAAGGCTCAGCTGTTCTCAGTAGGTTTTCTGACCTTAAACACCAGGATCAAGTTGAAATTAAAAAAAAAAAAAAACAAAACCAAACCAAAACAAAACATAAATCCAAACAAAAAAAAAAACAAACAAACCCCCCCACACAAACACACAACAAAACCAAACAAACAAAATAACACCTTCAATTTGTAATTCATAGCATTTCAGTAACTTTCTTCTCCCCACAGGGATACATGTTGATTTCTACTGACGTCCACTACAAACGCTAATGGAGAAGAGAGACCATTTGTTAAGCGTGAACTTCAAATCAATACTGTGACTCTGAAGGCTAAACACTGTCCAGCTGTACTGAAATGTGTAACTCGAGCTCTGGCAAGGGCGATGTCGTCCTGGCTGGGGACAAGGGGGGATGCAGGGAGGCAAAGAAAGTTGATGGTACGGTTGGGCTGTACAACAGAAGAGAACATATGACATATGCTTGACATTATTTATTCTGGAGTTCAACCAATGCAAAGGTGTTTTTAAGATTAATGCCTCTCTTGAAATACAGTCTTGTCTATACATTTCCAGAAAGGTGCTGCAGTCTCCTAAAAGAAGGAAAAGTACATTGTTAAAATGCTGCTAGGGCAGACATGCCTGCTAATCTTTTTCTACAGTAATGGTCTTAAATACCTTCCTCCTGAACATGGCGCCCTAAGTACGAAGTGAGCCCTCTCCAGAACCACATCATACTGGGAACTGTCCCAATCACAGTAGGAACTAAAAATCTTACCAGTGTCTTAACTAAACGCTTAACACCAATCTTAACAAAGATGCAGAAGCAGTTCAGGAAGAGAGACAAAATGGCACTGCTACTGCCTTTGCTACTCGCTCTCCCCCTGTGACTCTTCAAATCCTTTTGTCTGTCCTGTTCCCTGCTTAGCACTGCCTAGCCAGGTCAGATACATTTATCTCCTTCAGTGTTTCTGTGTAAGTCTGACAAGTCTAATCCTCCAACATCTTTGTCAATGTTTCTCTGGATTGAAATAGTTACTTTATTTCATACTTCATTTTGGTATGTTGTCTTATCCTCTTTGTTTCTCCGCCTTCTTTTTCAATCCTTTATCAGCGTGCAAACCTGAACACAGTTCTGCAGAGGGATACACCTGCCCTGCAATGCTTGGGTGCTTGCTCTTTAGCCAAGCCTGAATGGAAAGCAGCCTCAGGCCTTCCAAACTAGCGTCAACAGAGGAGAAACAAAGGCTGGGGCGTCACGTCCTGCTGCTTTTGTGAGCCCCAAACCACCCCTGTGCAAAGCCCCATCACAGACCCTAGCCATCCCCCTGCCTCTCGCTCCTCAACAGGAGCCCTTTTCAAGCCAAGACTGTCCAGCAAAAAGCTGTTTTCCTCCTGCTGAGGAAACGCAATTGACGACGGGGTGCAGGCAGCTTTCGCCTGACTGCAGCTGAGCGAACTCCACCCATTCCACCTGCAGCGGGGGGCTCGGCCCCACACCTCCCCCAGGCTGGAGCGCCTCCAGGCCTCACGGTGTTGCATCCTGCCCGGCCTGAGGCAGGGCTGAGGGAGCGACAGGGCATCAGCAAGGCGGGTGGCCAGAGAGGGCCTCTGACCAGCCTCGGAGCTGAAGGGGGCG